CTCCACCATGTCCAGCCAGTGTGCTGATCCTGGAAGCCATCTCTTTGGTCATGGTGTGTGCCCACATCTCACGTGGGTCATTCTGAAGGCCTCCTTGGAGGAGCAGAAAGCACCAGGGGCTTTAGTGCAGCTGAGAGCAGCAGACCCTTAGTGTCTGTACGAGCCAGAGCATCCTGGCTGTGCTGTGCTGCCCTGCGTGCACCCAAGGGTGCTGTGGTGGCCCAAGGCCCATGAGTGCAAGCAGAGCTGCTCTGCGCTGCCCATGAAGATGAGGCATGGGCACTGCTCACACTCCTGGCTCTTAGGAGCAACATCCCAGCTTCTCCTCATGCCTCAGCATCCTGCAGGCAAGCTCTCCTTCCCATAGCCTCTGTGCCCAATGTCCCAGCTCCATTCTTAGCTCTGCGAGGCATCTTGTTGACATCACAGGGATGAGGTCCTCTGCTTCCCTGCAGGCTGGAAACTTGCCTGTGACCCCTGTTGCCTTCAGAGCTGCAGCTTCTGCTGCTCATTAGCTTAATAGTAATGTGGATCAGCAGTGTTCAGTGCTAATGGATGTTGTGAACAGAACCAGGGTGAATATGCGATGAGAACACATCCTCGCTTATATGCACAACAAACCCCTCCAACCAGGGTAGGTTAAGAGCTGACAGAGGCCCTCAGAACAGGCCCTGTCTGGAATGAATGAATCAGACCATTGAATGAATCCTTTAATCTAAAGCATCCCTTTGATTGTGGTGCTCTGTGAAACCAAGTGCCTGCAGCCCTGAGGGCAGTTTGCCATCCCTGGGCTGGGCTTGGATTGTGGAGTCACGCTGGTGCCGTGGCATTTTCCTCCCTTTTCTCCTCTATTAGGAAGCAAAGTGGGGTCAGAGAGAGCATCAGAGTGGGGCAGAGTGGGCACAGGGAAGAAGGGAGCTTCCCTGCTCACTGGGTGTTATTTACAGCACGGGCAGAGAGTGCTTCTTGTCTTAGGGAGCAGAAAAGGCTCAGGAAGAGGCAACTGGGGCTATGGGCAGATGGAGGGAGGTAGTGAGAGCTGTGGCAGGGCTCTGATCCCTGCTGATGCTGTGGTTCCGTTTCCCAGTGGTCACAGTGTGACCCATTGGATGCCAGGGGCTGCTGCTGCAGCCAGGGAGGCGAAGAAGAGGTGTGAATGCTGTGGCTCCCCAGAGTAGGAAGTGTCCAGGACAGGGTGGGAAGTGAGGAGCCGGGGCAGGAGCATGGCTTGCTGTAGGTGGGATGGTGTCTGTGGAGGCTGTAACCTTTCCACTGAGTGCTCAAGATGGGATGTCCCCTTCTGTGGGCAGGGCCTGTCCCTGGAGCAGAGGTGGGCAAGTGCCTGTCATCTGCTATTCTGTATAGCCTGTAGGTAGCCACATGTCATCTCACCCTACCAAAGGTGAGATGATTAATTAATGGATTAAGAGGCAAGGATGTGGAGGAGGGACATGGGTTGCATGTGTCAGCTGCAGTGCTCAGACAGGCTCTGAGGCATCCATCAGGAATGATCTGGTGGCTAAAAACAGTCCAGGGCTGCAGTGAGTGGCTCTGGTTGGAATCAGTGGTAAGGAGCAGCCAGGAGATGACACAGCTCCTGTGTGTTTGTGTGCACCAGCATCACTTGAAGTCAGTGCTCACGCAGTGATTCCTGACGTGCTGGATCTTCCCCCACGGTTTAGCAGGGAAAAGGGATTGCCATTTGCATGGTCTGGACCTGTGCTCCCTGCTGAGGTGGTGGCTGTCCCTAAACACACACCGAGGTGTCAGGAAGAAGCACGTGAGGTCCAAGCTCTCCAGATGCTTTTGTCCCCAGATGGGGTGGCTGTGGAGCAAATGTGGAGCTTGTGCCCAGAGGAAGTGTGTGGACTGGTTGGATTTGGGAATGTCACAGGGATGACTTAGCTATCTGCAACCACTGGTTTAGGGATGCTGTCAGTAGGGAAATGATAGGAACAGCATCCATAATGATGCTGATGGGCTGTGGGATACCAGCAGGGCTAGTGTGGCCCTTTGGGAACCAGGAGAGCATTGGGACTGGGCACCCAGCCCTGATCCCAACCAGTCCCCATCACAAGGCACAGCAGCTCTGGCAGGATGTGCTCGTCAGGGCAGATCTGTGAGTGCTTTGGCTGCACCAACCTCATGGTGTTTGCAGGGCACAGCAGGTTGGTTTTAGCTGCACAGTTGTTTTTGGTGCTGGATCCATCCCTCCTGCCTGCGCTCGGGTCCCTGCACGTGCCTGGCTCCCACCCACTCATCCCATGGGATTAAACCTCCTGAAGGCAAAGCCAGCGCACCTTTGAGATGCCACTGTCCTCGACAACCTGGCTGGTAGGATCTATACAAATGTACTCAAGGTCTTTAGGTGTTCTTCTCCAAGCCCTGGTAACCTCATAGACAACAATGGCTGTCATGGCAGGCTATGGGGCTGCATGTGCCCCCTGTGTCAGCATCCTTTGCTAAGGGCTGCTGAATGTATTTGTGTGGATGGGTGTTTGCTGACTGGGAGCACTGTGGCCGTAGTGGCATTTTCCTGTGCAGGAGCAAAAGTATTTCTGTGCCTGGGAGGAGAAGAGGCTCACATCTGTGTCCAGAGCTCTCGTCTTTGCATCTCACTTTGTATGTGGGGGTTAGGAGTTAGGGCATGGGAAACTCTCAACATTAAATAGGTGGCTGTGAGCTGGGAGAGAGCAGGGAAGCTCCAGCTTACACATTCCCCCCACCATGTGTGACCCCTTTTTTAGCCTGGCAGAGAGTGGCCCTGTCCTAGGGGTACTGGAGGGCACTCAGAGGGCTCCAGTCCTAGGGGACAGCCTGGATCGGGCCAGTCTTGGCTCTTCTCTGAGCAAGGAGCACCCTGAATGTTTGGGGTTGGTTTGAGCTGTCCTGGGCACCCACCTTCCCCTGGCAGTGCTGCTTTGGGCTGGGAGCACGTCTGTCTGGTGAGAGTGTTAGAAGAGGATAACATCTGTGCTGTGTATGAGGTTTTATTCCCTGTTGTCCATGCTTGGCGTAGCCTCTCGGGGAGCATGAGGTGAGGAGCAGGGGTCATCCCACAGGGGTACCCAGGGAGAGTGTGATGGCTGTGATTTTGCTGGCCCTGCATCATTCTCATCCTGCTCCACAGCTTCTGTAGGGAACAGCGCACCTAGGACAGGTAGGCTGCCCTCTAGAGCAGGGGTGCACATCCCGGTGTCCCTCTGGGTGCTGCCCTTTAGGTCTAGCACTGCTTTGTGAGGAGCACTGGTTTGCAGGCCTGTGAGTGAGTGACAAGTGCCCAGTGGTGGGAGGACTTTTCTGGGATGACTTTGTTGGTTTCAGGTGTTCCTGGTACCTGCTGAGGTGCTGTTACTGACAGGGCGAGGTGCAGGGATGCTGGCAATAGGGGATAACGTCATCTCCTGGTCCCAGCGAGGAAGTGCTGTCAGAGCTCATTGGAGTCAACTGGCACCACTCTCAACATTAAATACATATCCAGCAGTGCATACTTTCCATGCATCCCCTCATGAAGCACTTACTTAACCAGGCTTCTTGCTGTAACAGTCTGTGTGCTTCTGTATCTATGTGTCAAGGTGTTGGGCTATTTACTGCTTTGCAGGCTGCATCTGCCTGCAGAGACCATTCTGTGTCCCCACTGTGCCTTGTCCCACTCTGCCAGGGAGGGAGGTGGTTGGGAAAGCAGGTGCAGGATGTCCTGGTTTAGGCTGGGATAGAGCTCATTTGCTTCCCAGGAGCTGGTGCAGTGCTGTGCTTTGGGTTTAGTCTGAGAATGATGCTGATACCATCAGCAGTGAGGTTTTACCTGTTGCTAAGTGGTACTTAGCCTGATGAAAGGACTTGTCAGACTCTTGTGCTGTGCCAGTGAGGATGGACAAGGGAAGCTGGGAGGGAGCAGAGCCGGGACACCTGACCCAAAGGTGCCAAAGGAGCATTCCATCCCACAGCACGTCATGCCCAGGATAGGCACTGTGGGAGTTACCTGGAATGGACCGATTGCTGCTTGGTTTGGGCTAGGTATCAGTTGGTGGCTGCTGAGCAATTGCATTGTGCATCACTTGTGTTTATTGGTTTTTAACCTTCCCCTTTTAGCTTTATATTCTGTCCCCTTGTTACTTCCCTTATCATTATTACTAGTAGGAGTAGTATTATAATGTGTTTAATAAATATTATACATTTTCTATTGTATATTGTTAAGCTCTACAAGGGAGACATGGAGGGGTCTTGGCTGGTGGGAAGGGCAAGGGGCACAGCACGTTGCACTCTAAGCATCATCTTGTGTCTTTGAACCCTGTAGGTTACCAATGGGCTGGAGGGTGTGCACATCGAGAGCAAGGGCTGCCTGTCCATGCTGACCTTCTGCAGCACCTCAGAGGACTATGGCAACTACATGTGTATGGCCAGGAACAAGCTGGGCATCACCAGTGCCAGCATCATCCTGTATGGTAGATGCCCTGTTGCTTTTGCAGCAAGGTGTAGTGAGGAGGAAGAAGAAGAAGAGGAGAGGAGGATGAAGAGGAGGAGGATGGGTGGCCAGCAATAGAAGGGAGTGGGTTTTCTTTAGCAATGCCAGCCCATGGAGGTGCAGAATGGCCAAGCTCTGAGCAGTGAGCATACATGAGAGGGTGCTGAGGAGATGCGCATTGGCCCATGCAGGAGGGCGCTGCCTGGTGATGGTCACGGTGGGTGTTTAGGGATGAGCAGCAGACGGTGAAGAGACAGACAGGACATCATTGGAACGCAGGCTCAAGGAGAGGCCCCATGCAGGTAAGGACACACTCTGGGGACACAGCGTAGGGTATTTGCAGGTTGTCCTATTGGCAGGGATACAGGAAGTTGTTAAGGGGTGCAGGCAGTGGCAGGTTGAGTTTAGGTGGCAGGCTGGGTAGTTGCATGTGGCAATTTGCCTAGCGTAGGTATCAGGTTGGGAAGCATAGGTGTTAGATTGTATAACAAAGGTGTTAGGTTGGGTACTGTCAGTGTCACTTTGGGTATTACAGGTGTTACGTTGGATCCCGTAGGAGGCACTTTGGGAACCACAGGTGTTAGGTTAGGTAGCATGGGTGGCACTTTTGACTCAGGGTTAGCACAGCTTTGTTAGACTGGTTCCATCAGAGGTGCTTGGAGGTTAGACAACTTGTGTTGCACTTTGTGTACTATAGTTGTTAGGTTGGATACTGTAAATGGTACACTGGGTATCGTAGGTGTCAGGCTGGGTAGTATAGGCGGCACTTCAGCTAGTGCTTGGCAGTGTAGGTGGCACTTTGGGAACCATAGGTGTAGGTTAGGTAGCATAGGTGGCACTTTTGACTCAGGGTTAGCACAGCTTTATTAGACTGGTGGGTTGTGAATAGAGACAGGGAACATAGGAATAGGAGGGGATAGAGGGAGGGAGAGCATGTTGGAGGGGAGAGGGGATGGAGGGGTGGGAAAAGGGGTGTGGGGGGGGATGAGCAGGGACCCGGACACTCTGCCCTCCAGATGAGACATCTCTACTTATAGAAAGGAAGCAGTACAGCACTCCCCTCCTTCATCCCCCCTGCCCGGACAGGGAAGCCTCCCCCCTAACTCACTCCCTCCCCAGAGGGCTTAGTGAGGGCAAGGAGGGGCTTAGGGGAGGAGCAACCCCTCCCATCCCCCTAACCCCTTCCCTCTGCTCTGGAGGGAAGGGCCTAGGAGGAGGGAGGGGGTTCTTATACCTGTCCGGAGACCATTCTGAATGTTGTGTCCCATCTGGAATTGCAGCTCTTGTCGTGGACCATCCCAGGGTGCCCGACCTGTCCCCTGCAAAGAAGAGCACCCATCACCACCAATCTCTTCATGCGTCTGCTGTTAGCCACCTTTCCTAACCACCACCAAGCCAACCTGCTTCCTCCCCACACATCTTGGCCTTGTGACATGCTTAGCCCCACACCACGGTCATGTTCCATCCTTATATCTGTCCTTCATAATCACTTTCTGCTTCTCCACTGGTATGTGGAGCATGGGCAGACTCTTCCTGGTCTCTCCTCCAGGCCTTTGCTTCCCTGGCTTTTCCCAACTGGCACCCACATGCACACAGCTACCCAAATCCTTCCCAAATAACAGCCTTCACCCTATGAGATGCAATAAACCTCCTTTCCACACACAGACTTCAATGGCTGCCTCCTACATCTTCTTTGTCCTCCTCCTCCTAGGAACCCCCTCACACCATGACCACAAAACATAGCCATGCACCTGACAGTCCACACATCTGGATTATGCCATCTCCCATGTCAGCCTTTAATGCTGAGCATGAGTTGTCCAACTTCCAAGCACCTCTGATGGGACCAGTCTAATAAAGCTGTGCTAACCCTGAGTCAAAAGTGCCACTCATGCTACCTAACCTAACACCTATGGTTCCCAAAGTGCTCCTTCACAACCAGGCCTGATACCTACACCGCCCAAAGTGTCACTTATGATACCCAACCTAACAACTACAGTACCCAAAATGCCACCTACAATACACAGCCTAGCACCTCTGGTTCCCAAAGTGCCACCTACAACACCCAACCTAACACCACTTCAAGTGCCGCCTACGCTACTTCAAGTGCGACATACTCTACCCAGCCTGACACCTCCAATATCCAATGCTACCCAACCAATCCCAAAGTGCCACCTACAAGATCCAACCTAACAACTGTAATACCCAAGCTTTAACCATGTTCTCTATCTGCTCTGGGCTTATTTCTCCCTCCTTGTAAATGGTGACACTGACACCAGCCACTCACACGAGATGCTCTGAAGCACTAAGTCATGATTAGATACACCTCCTGTTATCGCTGCATGCTGTAAGCAAGGCACAGTCCAAAGAACATAGATTATTTAAAGAGGCCAAGTAAGAGATTTTGGACTCAGCAAGTCAGTGCTGACAGCAACAACCAAGGCACGGAGCCCAATGTCATTGTTTTAGACTCCTCCATGTTTCGGTGCCAGGAACAGCGATCACCCAGCAAAGCAAAGAGCATCTCTTAACAAAGACGCAGCGTACACTGAGTCATGGCGCGGTGCTAACGCAAGCATCACTCACACCAACAACAGGCAGCACAAACAGGCTCTAAAACATAGCAAGCAACTTCTGTAGAGCACACAGCACAGCACAGCACAGGGCTTAGACAAACCCTGCTCCCAGAAGGGCACCATCACTGGGTACCCTCAGGACACAATAACAGTTCAGAGGTGTAAGACCTTCAGCAAAGAGCCAACCTTCTTCCTGCATCCCACTGTAAGGGCAGCAGGCAAATTCCTTCCAGTTTTCCTTACCTCCTTTCCCTGCCAGGCTGCTGTTCCTAGTCCTCGAGGAAGAAGGCAGCACTAACTCTGCCTCAAAAGCACACAGAAGGCTCAAGGCAGCAAGTGGAGAAGTCAAGCAGAAGCCCGTGAACATCAGCACTCCAACAAAACCAGAACTGCTTCTTCCCAAAGCAAAGCCAAACTCGACTCATCCTTTCCCTCTCAGGAAAGCACAACGGAACGAACCCAGCTCCCTCTGCAAGCCCAGCCCTCTCAGAACAATCAACAGCCTCAGAGAACCTGCTGGTGCTGGTGAGGGTAACCAAGCCCACCTGGGAGCACACTGCTCCCACTCACCTCACGGCTCGTCCTGGAGCTGAAGCCACCACCAATAACCCAACGGGTTGATGAGGACTTACAGAAGCATCAGATCCTACACACGGGGCCCTCCGGAACGGTGCCACCAGCATCCAAGTCCATCTCCGTCCGGCCTGCACAGAGCTCGCTCTCAGGACCCAGAAACCAGCTCCCTGTGCGCGAACGGGAGCCTGCCGGGGCCGCCCCGGGTCCCATCGCTCGCCCGCTCGCTTATCCACCTGACCGCGGCATCCCGCAGCCCCATGCCCGGCGGCGCCTCTCTCCTCTCCGTTCGTTCCTCTCCGGCCAGAACACGCGGAGCTGGGGGGAAAGCTCCAGCCAAAGTCCCGCAGCGCCGGTTCCACACCGGTTCCCACCCGCACCGCTCCTCTCTTCCCGTTTAACCCGGCCTGTGGCTCTCGGCAGCGGCTTCTCCCTTCCACCGGGACCCATCCCCGCCGGGACATCCCGGTTCCACGCCGGGACCTTCCACCGGGACGCAGAACGACCTCTGGCGTCAGCCGGAGCCCCGCGTAGCCGGGTGCCGGTGCTGAGCGGCGAAAGGCAGAACGGGATCTGTGTTTGAGCCCCAGCATCAGCGCAATGAGGGCTCACGTTGAGACTTCCAGGCACAGGGCTCTGGTTCTAAGCTCGGAACCTGGCTTTGGGCAACTCAGGCACCGTCTGAGCCCCACAACTGACCGCATGCGCCGGGCTCCAGACTCCAACACGCGGGGCCGGGTCTCCATTGCTGAGCCCCAAACCCGGCTTTAGTGACCCCGGTGTCCAGCCCCCAACCCGCGGGACGCGGTCTCCGTTTCAGAGCCCGGAGCGGCCCCGCTTGGTTTCCAGACTTCAACGCTCAGGACATCATTGCCCAGCTCCGAGCGCGGCCCCAGCCCAGGCTCAGCCCTCAGGCTCCGCTCCCAGGGCTCGGCCACGTGTGCCGGAGCCCGGGTGCCCTCCCCGGCCTCGGGGCGCAGCCGCAGCGCCCGCTGAGAGCCCGCAAACACTTTCGGGAAGGGGCCGGGAAATGGCTCGGCCGACGGCGCCCGGTTCCGACCCCTCCGGGCTTGCACTCCCCGGCACCCGGAGAACTGCGGGCCCCCGACTCCCATCGCGCCGGAGAGAGCCGCCGGAGCCGCGCCCCGGCTTACCCCACCCTCGCCTTCCATACGCATGCGCATCGGTTTTACCCTCCCTTCACCCCCCCCCCTCCCCGCCCAAATAGGGGTGACTCCGCCCACAACCAACATCGCCCCGCCCCTGATTACACGGGCCCCGCCCCTCACAACGAGGCCGCCCCGGGTCCTATCGACCGCCCGCTCATCCCCGAGCAGCGGCACCCCGCAAACCCATCTTCCGCAGCCGCCGTCCCCGTACGCGTAGGAGCGTCTGATCTCTTCTCTTCCTGCCTTCCTCTCCGGGCAGAACACGCGGAGCTGGGGGGAAAGCTCCAGCCAAAGCCCCCGCACCGCGGTTCCACACCGGTTCCCACCCGCACCGCTCCTCTCTTCCCGTTTAACCCCGCCAGTGGCTCTCGGCAGCGACTTCTCCCTCCCACCGGGATCCATCCCCGCCCCTCGCGTCAGGCGGAGCCCCGCGGGGCCGGTTCTGGGCAGTGGCCCCCGTACGGAGCGCCCCGAGCAGCAAAGCCGGCGGCAGCCCCAGCCCCGGCACCGGCCGACGCCCCGAGGTCCCCGGCTCCCGGCGGAGCTTTGTGTGCCCGGCGCTGGAGCCGCTGCAGCACGGACTCGGCTGTGCATGGGCAGCCTGGAAACGCGATCCCTGCTCGCGGGAAGGACCGGGCCGGGCTCCATCCCCTGGGGGGGGGGGGTCTGAGCGCGCTCCCGCCTCGCTCCCCCATCGCATCACCCGCATCTCCGCAGGCACCGGTCACACAAACACCAGCGAACCTCAGAACCGCTCTGCAGCACCGGCTCCGCGGCCCCGCGTGTCCCGAGTCCCGCAGCCCCTCGGCGCGGTGCCGGGGGTCCCGCAGCTCGGTCCTGGAGCGACGGGTGAGGAAAGGGGATCGGGGCACAGCCCGTGAGGGCTCCTCGGGGATAGTGGGAACGGGGCCATGCTTCCCATGGCCAAACACAGCAGCGAGGAGCCGGCTCGGCCCAGGCTGCTCCCGCAGCCCCGGAACCAGTCCCTTACTTACCCATCTAAACTTCCATCCGCATAAAACCTCTCTGGAGAGCACTCAGGTGACCCAGACACCAGCTCCCTAAGTGCCAGTGTCCAGCCCCTGCTCCTAAGCCTAAGGTGCCGGGACAGAAAGCTGGTGCTGGGCATCAGCTACACATGGTGCCCTCCACAACATGGATATCCTCACTTACTTACTGGCATAAAAGTCCATTAATGCCTACATAGACTGCACTGTCAGGTGCTCCAGAAATCGTCTTCCAAGGTGCCGACATCCATCCGCAGACATGCATTGTCAGAAAGCTTGTGCTGGTTGTTAAAAGTATTTAAAACCAGAGGCAAACCACAGAATAAAGAGGCTTTTTTCAGGGTAGGGTGAAAAGAGATTGTTTATTTTTGCAGACAGCAAAATTCAAGTTCAAATCTGGGCACTGCTCAGCACTTGGTTACCTTGAACACATTGGGATGACAGGGAGGCAGCTCCCAGTGTTTGGTGAGATCTGGGAGGCATGGTGCTCCTCTCAGCCAGGAGTTTGGGTGCAGGAATATATGAACAGGTGCTGGTGAAGGCTGAAATGAAAGTAGGGAGCAAGTGGGACATGGCCCCTCTGTGACTTTTAGTGTAGGCAGAACCCCAAAAAGAGCATCTGCAGACAACTGTGGAAGGTAGCAAAGCCTCTCACCATCCTGTTACTCCTGGGAAAGGGGAGCATACCATCAGGTGCCACGCAAAAGGAAAGCAAGTCGCTGAGCATTTGAATGTGTCATAAACTCAGTCCTCTCAGGACAGAAGTACCAAGAGAAGTAAAACGATGGGATAATGTGGAAAAAGGTTTGATAAAGAACAGGGGATGTTGTAGCCACAAAACTCCTCATAGGACACTGAGGGATACTGAGGGGTTTTGAGAACTAGAGAGATCCGCTTGTCCTGCCACACTGGAAGGGTTTCTTGCTTCTCTGATAAGACCTCCTAGGGTGACAGGATGTATACAAGTCATGGCTTGGTGTGTGTAAAGCTTTACAGAAGTACATCATATGGCTCTGTGTCCTGCTTTGATCTTGGCTTTAATTAGCACCATAAATGTAAGATACACAACTTTTCATCATGAAAATCACAAAAGAGCTCTGGATTTTGGCGAGAAAGGAGGACCCAGAGGCAGCTGTTCTGGGCCAACTCATTGTTGCTAGCAACCATACAGGGGGAAGAAAATAAAACAGGAGATATCAGGGGGTGTATAGTGCTGAGAGGAAGATGTGCATCCCTTCGTTCAACATATCCACCTAATGAACCTGTCGAAGAAGCTGGGCTGAGAGAGGCTGTCATAGTCCTTCTCCCGGAAGATGGCTGCCCGGTCCCCAAGGCCAAGCTTCAGCAGGACATCCATGTCTACATCACTCCCAAGAGCCACTACGGTGGGCATGACATCTTGCTTCTTCATGGAGTTGATGGCCTCCTCGAGGTTCTTGCTTCCCGTGATGCCATCAGTGATGAAGACGAAGGAGAGCTCAGCATTGCGCCGCGCGAGTCGCTGCCCATCTCCTGGGCTGAGCACGATGTTGTTGATAGCGTGTATGATGGCTGACCCGATGTTGGAGGACGAGTCCAGGTACTTGATCTGTGCCAGGGCGTTGGAGATTTCCGTCAGGTTGTAGGTCAATGGGAAGACCACATTCTGGTCTCTCTCACTGCCGTACTGCAGCAGTGCAACCCGGGCATTCATGTTGTCGCTGTTGCTATTGGCCAATGTGAGCTGTCGGGCCACCTCCTCCACAAAACGATGGGCCCTGTGGAAATTCTGCTCCCCAATCCTTTCAGAGCCGTCCAGCAAGAAGACAACGTCAACGGGGCGCTGTGTGCACTGGGCCACTGCAAGCTCTGCAGGAGAAAGAAGACAAGAGTTGGGAGCATAAAGCCTACAGGCTAAGGTTGGGGCTTGCCCTGGGCAGTTTGGGCTTGGAGATGCCTTCACGCACCTTTGGCCAGCCCTGCTTTGCTGCCGAAGGCTGTCTTTGCAGCTGGTAATGCAGGTTTTCTTCTGATGCCCTCAGCTTCTGGGCATTAGGTCTTAACAAATGTTAATTCTGGGGCCACTGGCAGACCTCCATGATATTAGACAGGTCTGTACGTTTTAGTCCCTGAATTATATCCACCTTCATACTGCAGTTCCCATCTGAGAGGAACATCCAGAGGTTAATGGCAGGCACCGTCTGCAAACCTCTCGGTTACTTCTCGAGTGGTTTACCTTCAGATTTCCTCTTCACACGCAGATTTGTATGTTGAAAGCTGTTTCCATAGCTTTCAGCCAGATTAGTTTAACCGGGAATCGCTAATTCCAGAAGAGCTCATAAAGGCTGGGTTATAGGGCTGAAAACAAGACTATCTTTGTCAGTGTGCCTGTTCATATCAAAGCAGCCTTTCCAATATATAACAGATGAATAGTTGAGTGAACTACAGGGGCCCGTTACTGTTCTGTCAGTCAGAACAGAACCTGTCCACAAAGCTGGCGTGTAGGCATATGAATAGATACAGTGCATGAACCCAGGAAAAGAAGAAAAGGGCTATCTTTGGAGTCAGCTATTAGGGACCGTTATTTCATCCCTTTGCAGTAGTTATGCGTATTGCATTTAGTGTTCCTCTGCATGCCTGCTTCTCCAAGAAACACTTCCACTTCCTTCTTTTGAGTTTCCTCCTCTGCTGAAAGCATCACTTAGGAGCACAAGCGCAACAGCAGCATTGATTTGTGATGTACCTACTGTGGCTGGCCACCCCCTCAGCTGGCAGCAGGGCAATCACTGCCAAGCAGTTCTATGGCTCCAAGACTGAATCTCAAAGTCCTGGAGTCAATATCATCATGTTTTGCATGACTGGCAAAGAACAGGAGACTCTGGAACAGCCCCAGCTTGAGCACCCATTTCTAGCAACAAAGAGTAACTTTTGGGATGGGAGTATCTCATTGGGTTGAGTATCTGCTAGTTGAGCAAATCCAGCTTGAAAATTGCTTCCTCAGTGCTCAACACTGCTATGCTTGGATTCAGCATGTGGGGTGCTGAACCAGTGTCATTCCTTCTATGAGCTGAGCAACAAATGGTTTCGTACATGAGTACTATGTGTGCGGTCAGTGTTATCAAAGGCACATTTTAAGCAAAATAGATACATGTGCTCTTGAAACTACAGAGACAGTGTCCAACGTGAATCCAACAGCACAAGCCAGTGTAGCAGAAGCTCTTATAGTGCACGTAATTGAGCTCAGAGATTATTTGCACCACTTCCATCCATGATAAAAGTCAAACCTGATGCAGGAACTTGCTGGTACATGTGGTTTAACCTACCTGGCTGGACATAGTAAAAGTCCGTGGTTGTTTCTGTATCATGCTCCCTGACCCTGTAGACTTGCATTTCTCCGTAGCCCACACCGTATTACATATCTACAATGACATGCCTTGAATGGTGCTTACTGTACATTGTCTTACTGTGAACAATAGGCTTATGCCATGGCAGCTCTGGCTGCAGTAAAAAAACAGTCTCCAAGCAATGCTTTTCCTCCCAGCCCTTTTTGAATATCCAAATTCATCTGCAACACTCCACTCCTTCAAAGCAATAAAGGTGCATACTCACCTCTGCCCAGCCTTCCTTAAGAAATGGTGTCTAAAGGTACATTGGTGCTGCAGTTCCCTGTATGCAGGTGCTGCTGCCATAAAGATACTTGGCCTTGGAAGTGCCTGACCTCCTGGTCCTCACCTGATCTGTGCGGCCATGGAAGGCGAAAGGCAGGCAGGCAAGAAGGCATGGCCCTTCCGATTGCACAGTCTGATACCTGCATCGGGGTCTGCAAAAGCCAGTGGAAGCAAGCAGGTGGGAGTGAGGGCTGCGTATAATGTTGGAGAAGCGTTACACCAGTCTGTACCCCCAGTGCTTGTCTACATGTAGTTATGTTTCTGGAGAAGAGAAGCCTCCTACATGACATGAAGCAAGCCTTATAAGCTCCTAGTTAAGCTGACTGCAGCTGAGAGCAGCATCACTCCATGGAGTGATGGGACACCTTCCACTAGAGCAGCTTGCTCCAAGCCCCTGTGTCCAACCTGGCCTTGAACACTGCCAGGGATGGGGCAGCCACAGCTTCTCTGGGCACCCTGTGCCAGCGCCTCAGCACCCTCACAGGGAAGAACTTTTGCCTAAGAGCTCATCTCAATCTCCCCTCTTTCATTAAATCTGACAAAGCACAGTAGGGAGCTTGGCTTTACACAGACTATCTGGAATACATGGCTTACAATCAGACTCAGACATGGGCTGATCCTTTTGCCTTCACCTAAACCGCAAAGCACTTCACGTAAAACTCTCCAAACTCTTTTCCCTCTGTTACACGCCAACAGCAGAGCTCTCTGGACTCCCTGTCCCTATAGACTAGAAGCAAAAAGCATTGAAACCTTGGGAGAAGGACTATGTTGTGCAGCATATTTGATGTGCACATGTGCTGGGTGACACAAACACTTCCCCTGCATCCCACACGGCTTTAAGCCTTGACTGGCAAGCCCCAGATGTTGAAGCATAGGTGGAAGAAAACTGCAGTAAGTTCAAAGTGGGCAAGTTCCTCCTTCCATGGGCTCCACTTTGCACATGAGGAAACATCACAGCCCAAGCATGTTTCTGAAGACCATACATCTCCCTTCTGCACATTAAATATGACATTTGTTCAGTATACTTTATTGTAATAATATCATGCCACTTAGAGAGGCTGCAAAATCCACTTGCTGGCAGTAAACACTTCTACTTTTGTGCCTGCACACAAGATGCTGCTCTCTTATGGATTAAGAGGGCAGTAGTTATGCTGGAGGCAGGAATGGTTGATACCTGCCTGACCTCCTGTGAGTATTAGGAGCATCTGAGCTTATGGAAATACCACCCCTCATCTAAATGCACACACCCACAGCACAAGTGGTGTCTCTGAACCGAACTAGCACTTGGTATGGATTGAATCAAGTTGAAATACTTGCTTTTAAATAGCTCACGTAACACATCATAGAGGTTTGACTGCACGCAATCTCTGTCTCTTGTCTACCAACAGGTACATGTTGCTAACTAAGACAGAAGAAACACAAATGTAGAAGCAGAGAAAAAGGCAGAGGGAGCTCACACAGCTTCTGAGAGAAGCACTCCCCAGGTTTCGGTGCTCTCAATGGAAAGCCAGGCTTGCCCCCTCTCCCATACCTCTTGCTGCTTCCCTTCAACATTCCCCACTGCCCCTTGGATGGTCGTACAGAGACACTCACTGCGGCAAGAGGAGATGCACCTTGCTTTGTCAGTCTTGCCACACAAGACCTGAAGAAAGCCCTCATGGTAACCCAGTGAGAGGATGCGGAAGAGCTTCAGAAGCAGTTAGCAAATGCATATGTATGAAGGCATGGAGAAAGTGCATCGCTGGTCCCTCTGTGTACGAAGGGCTCGCTCTGGCCCTCAGCCACGCGTGTGTTGGGAGCCTCATTGGTAGACCCTGGTGCTTGCCTATGGCTGAGGGCTGGGACACGCAGCTCCTCTGCAAAAAAGAAGTGGGCAAAGCAAAAGCATCTCTTGCCATCACTGAAGAAAGCTGCCATGCTCATCATTCAGCCAAGCCAGAGAAGACTGCCCCTCATGTCCCATCCCTCACTGAGCGCAACCAAGAGCTGAAAGCATCTACCAGTCTATCTGCCCCCTCTGCCCAACAGGCACATGGGGAAAGACCATTGCCACCTCCTCTCAACCTCTGCCTCTGCTCTCTTCACATTGATCCCTAACAGAGATGTCAGCAAAGCCCTAGCACGGTTTCTGGGTCCCCCACAATCTCGCTGTGCACCATTTTGAAGGTGTCAATGAACAAGTCCATCCACTCTTGCCGCTCATTTCCAGTGGCAAACTTGGCTTTTTCGGCGGTAAAGGCCAAAGTGGCCACCAGCTGGGTGTACATGCTGGGGTCCTGGGTTTCCCGCGTGGAGTTTAGAAACTGGGCGATGGAATGTATGGTGCTGGGGAAATCTATGTTGACTCCCTCTTCCATGGGGCGGAAAATAAGTGGATTTACGTTCCCAGGGTTCCTGTCATCTGCAAGTGAGCGTCAAAAGAATATTTTCAGGGCTTGCTAGCAATGGCTCTGAAAGCTGCCTGGCTTTCCTAGGTGCACTGCACCAGGACAACAGGGATAATGAGGACAGAGAAGTAAAGACCAAAGCCACATTTTACATCCTTCTGACACATTTTATGTCTAAGGAACCGTGGGATTTGGACTGAAATCACTCACGCATCAACTGAGAGACTTCAGAAAATGACATGGAAAATGAACTGCCCAGCTCCTTCCTGTTCATCTGGCATAGAGGCACAATGGAGGAAGAGCAGCGCCATGGGGTCCAGCTTCTTTCTGCATATGCATATTTCTTTATGCATATTTCTTTTCATACATATTCTGCCATCATGTAGCTGTGAACTCTCCTCTGAGTAAACTATACACATGATGCTATACAGCCAGAAACACAACTAAGGGACAGCATAATGTGAACTCCTCGCCTGGCACTCAGCTTGCTGCTGTGTGCAATGCTCCTTTGTGGTGTCTGGGCTAATCAGTACTCCAAAGCCTCCATCTCCACCTGGCTGTGCTGAACTTCAATGTGAATAAAACCCCTCAAGGCTCAAAGCAAAGCCTTTTGCGTGGGTTAGAAAGAGCCTCACAGAGCATCATGCGGTTTCTATCAAAGCAAGTGGTCAGTTCAGATTTGCTGAGCATTCAACCCATTTTACATGCCCATTAGCACCATAGCAACTGACGGGCAGTGACATGAGGACAAGGGTCTGCCCTGAAAACAGGATTTCCTTAGGCAAAGCACTAAGGCAGATGTGAACCCAAAGTGACAACATGCTTCTGCAAGTAGGAAGCCAAGGTGTATGTAATACCTGTCCCTTTCTGTGCTTTTCTGGCAATACCCAGGCTGGGGTACATGGCACGAGCAATAGATTTGCTTCCTGAAGTGCCAGGACTACAGCTCTGGGGGTAAGAACAGAGCTGGATGTAGCTGCCTTCCTGACCTGAACCTGTCTGGCCTATCTCTCACTGGACACACGCATTGGATATGCATGAAGCTCACTCACACCGCGTGTGAATGCACCGTCTCCATCCAAAGGGTTTACACACAAGTTGGCACCAGCTCTTGAGATGCTCTTGGAGAACCAGAGGAAGCTGAGCACTGAGAAAAGAAGCCCCAGGCTCCATCACATACCTTAAGTCACATCCCATCCAATATGTTTCCCTTGCCATTAAACAAGTGTGGTCATTGCAGATCCTTCTAAATGATGCCAGCAATGCATCACAGACCATCCAGTGCAGTGGATGGAAGGTGGTTTGCTCAGAGGCCCCTGAATCCCTGGGCATCACTGAACACTTGATCTACCAGGCCTAGCAGGGATCCTTGCACACCAAGACAACTTTTGCCCACGGTGGGATAGGTGCGATGGCACTTTGACAAGAGGCCCGCACCTACCCAGCCACATCACCTATACCTATGTCCTCTGGGGCACAGGTATAGGGCCTGCCTACAGCATGGCTTGAGGGATTCCCAAGAGGGAACACCCTCAGATGCCTCCTCAAGCCATTTCTGTTCTAGTCCCCAGGACAGGTACCAGTGAACTGTTCTCACCTTGCATCAGGAACAGAGACACCCAAGTGCACTACATGGAAAGAACCACCAACTCCGCCTTGCTTTGGAGGCCTTCGATGGCCCAAGCACTAGTGCTTGGGTCAGCCTCTCTCCTGCAGTGTTCTTCTGAAAAGGGGAGGCTGCAGGGACCAAAACCTTTGAAGACGCCAGTGTGGCTTGGGGAAGTCACCTCCTTGTGCACGGATCTGCAGGACAAAGCTCCTCAGAGGATATGGCAGAGGAGCCTGTGTGGGTAGCTCAGCATCACTGTTGGATGCTGTGTTCTCTGCATGGCCAATATGCAGAGATTTTAGACAGGAGTAATTGTGGCTTTTCTGTCTTTGGATTTCTGAGCATCCTGTGTCCAGTTTTCCTTTGCTTTGCATGGAAATGAAGGGACTTCTTCTTTGCCATTTGAGGTTCTGGATAATACTGAGTCAAAGCTGGGGACTTGCGCAGGAACATTCATGGCAAGAGGAGAGATAAAAACTGCAAGAAGTGGCAAAACTTTGTCCCTGTAAGCTTTGTGCATACCAGCAAATAGTGCATCTATTGCCTTTAAGCGGGCGCAGAATGCAGACAGGATCTACAGCAATTCAAGTTGCAGATCTGCCCCTTAACATGAAAAATGTGATCAAGTGAAACTACCTGCAGAGAGCAGCAGCTGTCTCCTTTGTACCATAGGATCCTCAGAGACTTTTCCCTTTAATCCAACACCCCCAGTTAATTGTTAATTAAATACAGCCAGCGTTAGAGAAGCCAAAGCCTTGGGTCCACTATGGTGTCATTTTCCGTATGGTCCCTACCCCCTGCTCTGCCCTTGTCACTCCTGAGGAGCTTCCTGCCCGGTGCTGCGGGTTGGGTTCTGCATCCCAAAGGTCAGCATGGGTGGGAGAGTTTAACAAGGGGGTTTTGACTTGATGCATGATAGATACATGGAACAAGTGAGCAATGGATTGCTGAGTTTGGAGGCCAAAACCTGGTCAAAACCTCTGAGGAACTGGGTCAGGGCTAAGCCATGCTGGTGCACTAACACAGTGCACTTGTACCTACCTGTGCAGAGAACATGGAAAGGCAGGAAAACAGCAGGAGATGAAACCCTGGAGCCTCTTCTCATGTAACTTAACAATAATTCCCTTAACTCCTTTCCCCCAAAGCAAATGAATGGGGTTGTGCATCCCATTCCTGCTCCTGGCCCTACCACTTTGTGCAGATAGCATGAAGGTATTTGTTATGTTTACCTGTCTGACAGGGCAGCTCAGGGCAGACGACCTGTGGATCTGGAAGGGAAAGAAACAAGGAAAAGTGAGTGATGTGCTGCCATCCCCCCTTCACCCAGCCGAGGTGGCAGGGCAAGGTCTCTTAGTGGGGAAAGGACTCCAATGGACTACCCCTGCTATCTGAGAAAGGACTGCTCATCCAGGGCTACATAAAGGCATAACCCAGCTTATGAGCTACTGGCCAACCTGCTGGGACATGGTGTCTCTGCAACTGCTGCAATGCACCATATATACCCCGAACCCCAAACCCTGGGGCTGAAAACCTCAGTTCCACTGAGAACTGTACAAGGAGCGGTACAGACCTGGGCAGAGGACATCTTCCATCTTGTCAATGAATTCCTCTGCCACCAGGTCTGAGAAGAGCCTCATCTTCTGGACGCGCTGGGGTTCATTGCAGGCGATGGAAACCAGAGTCTCACTCTGTTCTGGCTGGTCAAACATGTCTCCAATGCCAATGGTGTTGACAACCACATCTCTACCGCAAAGAGCCCCGAGGTTCTTGTCATCGTCCCGGGGGTCATAGCGCCCATCCGTGATCACCACAGCAAACACTTGGGCTTTCTCTCGCCTGCTTTCCTTGATGAGCTTGTTATAGGCAAACTGAAGGGCAGAAGGTGTCCAGGTGCCTCCAGCAATCCACTCCAGGCGCTTCACTGCTTCCTTGAAGCTCGACAGTGAATCAATGCGCTCATCATCAAGCTTGATGGCTTCAAAGGTCCCCTCGTGACTGTACTGCACCACCCCAACACGGGCACCTGCCAATGAAGCATCAGGTCACTTGGCTTTGCATCCTCAGTGAAAAGAGGAGGTCAGCAAACTTTCACACCAGCAAAGAGCTCCCCGATTGGCCTAAAGAGCTGGGAAGGGAATAGGGAAGAGCTGCGGAAGTGCTGGATTGATGAATCGCAGCCCAGGGCAGCTACAAACGTGGAAGCTGGAGGAATCCAAACCCCATTTCTCTTCCCTGTGCCCCACACAGTCCAGACCTGTCTGTGACTTGGGGTCCTTGGCAATAGAGCCCAGGCGGCTGACCACATTGACCACAAAGTTCTTCTCTAGGGTGAAGTTGGTGTAGCCAATACTCTCTGAGCTGTCTATGACAAACATGATGTCCAGGGCACCGCAGCGCTTCTCACAGTCTGGGGAGAGAGACAGAAGGAGAAAGACACAAAGGTCAGTGATGGTGGGAACAAGAGACCATCTATGGGAAGATGAGACAGCATCACACCAAGCATCCACAGGGCTTCTGGATTGGATAGGGAGGGCTTCGCATGCATCTTTCTGTTGATGTATTTGATACCCTCAATATACTAAATCTGTTCGCTATACTCTATCCTATCATCTGGACCATGCAACTCTGTATTACAGCTCATTGCTCCTAAAATAATCAGGAGGTGAGCAGGGAATGACTTTCCATGAAGGAGGCAGCCCCTGATGACCCCCTTTCCCCATCCCTCCATTGCTCATTCCCCTTCCCTGGGGAAAGGCAATGGTCTGCTCACCACAGCATCCGCATGTCTCCCGCACGTAGGTCATCACGTCGCAGTCCTGCCAGCAAAGGGGTGCAGGGTGAATGCCTCCCTCCCTTTACACAGCATCCATCCCCTCTAAGGCAAAGATTCCCCTTTCCCTTCCCACCCCTTTTTCCTTGGCTCTCATGGGAAGCCACAGGCCACCTTTGCCAAGCAGCATCAGGACAGGATGCTCTTTCATTCTCAGGCTGTGCATGGCAAAGCCATGGCTGCCCCAGGAGGAAGAGCACTGGGGGATGCAGAGAAGTGCTACTTACAGTCAGGCCAGGATCTCCTGGTGGGCCTGGGGTCCCCTGTAAGAAGAGCATAGGGATTTCAGGCAGTTTTCCCATGAGCTCCCTTTGTGGGAACTACACATAAGAACCATTGAAAACATGGCTTTTTGCAGAGGGAAAGGTAGGAAAGCCTTGTCTGGCAGCTCCTCCATCAAGACCTACTGCAGGGAGACCCACTGGGGTCCTCTGAGCTTTAGAGCTTCAAGGAGAAGTGGGGAGGAAGAGGAGGGAGCTGCAGCATCTGCTCACACACAGTGTCATGGTACGGTACCTCAGGGCCAGCTTCACCAGTGGGACCACGGGGTCCGGGCTCACCTCCTGGACCAGGATCACCCTGGGCAAGAAGCAAAGAAGGGTCAGATATTACCCCAGCAAGGCTGGTGATGCAGGGACAGTCCTGCTAAACATGGTCCCACAGCAGAGCAGCACTGTCTCCAGCACATCTATCAGAGGTGTGGAAGGGGGACACTGACCCATGGGAGGTCTGCTTACCGGTTCCCCCTTGTCTCCTTTGGTCCCTTGCACTCCTTTTGGTCCAAGCTCTCCTCTTGCTCCCTGCTCGAAGGAAAGAGAAACAGATCCAGCACAGAGCACATCTGGATGTGCTTAGGCAGAGGTGTTACTGCTAGAAGCCTATCAAGGATACTTGCCTGGCCCAGGAGAGCACCCTCTAAACCAGCACAGAGCAAACAGTGTTTACTTAAGCATTAACTAAGAACAAGGAGGTTTAGCACAGCGTGCCTGGGAGATTCACTCCAGCTCTGCAGCTGCAGGGAATGGCTCTTGGCAGATCAGGCTTCTTGGCCACCATCTGGAGAGCTGGGCAACGGCTTCTGCGCATTACAGTCACTACTGAATGTAGGTGATGGAGACAAACACACTCACCTTGGGTCCTGGCTGCCCCTTCTCACCCTTGTCACCCTGTGGAGGGAGAGAGGTGGATGTCAGCACCCAAGCAGCACTGGTCCTGCAGTGTACATCTGCAGTGTGATGGTTGGAGTGGTGGGCACAGCCACCTCCCCATCACCACTGTTGAGGCTGGGGTCCACAACACCTCTGCTGTGAAACTGAAAGGACTCTGGCCAGGTTCAGCCCTGGTGTTAACCCCCTTTGGAGGCCCCATGGTTCTGGGGGCCCTGGTCACTTTTATTCCTCCTTCCCTCTCCTCCCAGCCTCCAACAGCAGCCACCACTGATACAGGCTTCTTTGTGGCACGTACATCTGATGGATGAGGGATACATACCTGTGGTCCTCTGGGTCCAGGGTAGCTAAAGCCAGGTCTGCCTCTGTCACCCTTTGGGAGGAAAACATAAGACCTGTCAGAAGCTTAACCTGGCCATGACAGTGACAGTCACAGAATCATTATCTGTCTATCTATCTATCTATCTATCTATCTATCTATCTATCTATCTATCTATCTATCTATCGACATATCTATCAACATACCTATCTATCTATGTATCCATCCATCCATCCATCCATCCATCCATCCATCCATCCATCCATCCATCCATCCATCCATCCATCCATCCATCCCTATCTATCTTTTCCACAAAAGCACACAGCAATACCCTTTCAAACACAGAGCTGCATTCAAAGGCCTTACCTTCGGTCCTGGTGGTCCAGCATCACCTCTTGGGCCCAAATCACCAGGATCCCCTCTTGATCCCTGCAGGACAGTGGAGGGAGTGGGTGAGGATGTTCCCTGCAGCTACCTGCCTGCACATGGGACTGTGCTGGAGAAACCAGCTCTTGAGAGGATGCTGCAGGACAATCTTCCCTCTCAGTGGGGTCACTGTGATAGGGTCTGATTCAGCACTTGGGTCCCTGTGTCCCATGGAGACACACATATGTCACGGCACTACTGGATTAACCACAGACCCAGGATGAAGACCAGGCCTGGGGAGACCTTTCCCTTCCTTCCATACTGTCATGGGAACATGTGGGACCAGGAGCAATGGAAGAACAGAGATTCCTGGGTCTTGCCATTTCTCCTTGCCCCATGGGCTAGCTGGGGCCTTTGGAATAGATTTTATACTCCTTGGGAGGGACAGTGCAGCCAACTTATGCCATTGGGACAAGCTCTCATTTGAGAGGGAGGACACAGTCATACAGGTGACTTACTATCCTGCCTGGCTCTCCCACAGGACCTGAAGGGCCTCGGGGTCCTGGCATTCCTTGGTCTCCCTGGAAAGCAACACACAAGAACATGGAGAGGAAGGCACAGGAAGGTGTGCATGAGGAGGAAAGGGTGAGCTGCCTTGGATGGCAACAGCGCTCTCCTTCTCTTTATGCTTACCCTTGCTCCTTTGCTTCCAACCTCACCAGGCAGGCCACGAGAACCCTCTGGACCAGGATCTCCCTGTGAGGAGGGTAAAGATATTCCCAGTCAGGGATGTCTCCAATGAATGGAAGAGGAGGCTGTATGTGATGCCACTAGGACACATGCACAGTAGAACATCACTCACACCACTCCTGTGCCTCTTGGGCAAACTTGCAATGGTCTTGGGGCAGTTCCTTTACTCACCCTTTCTCCTTTGGCCCCAGGAGTGCCTTTGCTGCCTTTTGTCCCTGGATCTCCACGTCGACCCTTGGCAAACACAAGAGAGCCACATAAATGGGATTTGAAGATGGATGCTGTCCAAGCAGTGATATGTGGCTACTCTGCCTTCTGCTTCCTGGCTCAAGAGTGGTCTCCTTACCCCCTTAGTGCCTGTCAGGAGGGAGCAGGGATGCCTGTGCTGGCTCTGCCTGGGGGATCTTGCCTTTGGCTTTTGGGAAGCCACAGCCAGTTTTCTGTCAAGAGGTGGTCACAGCACTGGCCGTAAACACTCATGGTTTATTCCCTAAGGGTTCCCCATGGTGGCCACCAGATCTCCACTGCAGGAAGCCAGCAGTGTGGGGAACTTGCTAGAGTACAGCCCAAGGGTCCCTGGGACATCCCAGGGAATACAAGATGCTTTTCTGGGGTGGAATGGTTAACATCACGCTTATGGATTATGGAAGTACTGCTCTGGGAAGATGGAGGAGACGCCCTCCATCAGGAGGTCAGCACCTGCACAGTTTTTGGAGCAGGCAGGCTAAAGAAGGGAAGTTTCTCAGAACTCATCCATGAAACTGCATCCACCGTGCACAGACCTGTTCAGACACTTACAGGCTCTCCTTTGGGTCCAGGAGGTCCTGGTTCACCCCTTCCTCCCTTTCTCCCAGCAGGCCCTTGAGCTCCAGGGTTGCCTTGAAGTCCCTTGGAGAAGAAAAAGAAACACAATTTGTTGGAAAGAGAGGTCCGGGTGCACACATCCCCCTCTTGTCCCGTACCATGCACATACACCCTTGAGCAGAGGCATGTATGAGCACACAACTCATGCTTCCACATAGCCACCAGCCTACACACCAATGCTATGTGCATAGACTCCAGCCTCAGAGAACTGTGATGCTGTGTCACCCTTCTTCTAGCAACTAGTGCAAAGGCTGGTCAGCTTATATGGTCAACTTTTATGTTTCTTACAGCATCTATCCAGCCCTGCTTAAAGCTGGAGGGTTATTTCAGCATCCTCCACTATGTCTGAAGTAACTGGCCAGGAGAAGATGGGAAGAGGAGGAAGGATACAGCGCAAGCAATCCCCTTTGTGCTGGAGTTGCTCCATGACCAACACTTGGTACCGCTCCATGCCACAAGGAGCAGACCCTACTAAGACACTGGATACACTGGAATGCTGCATTGACCTACCGGGCTTCCTTTTTCTCCTGGAGGTCCCGGCGGTCCACTGCGACCAGGCCGGCCAGGATCTCCCTGAAAGAGCCATAGAGCAATGGTCACTACCAGCATCATCAGCATGTTGCTGTGCTCCAGCGATGTACACCATGAGGAGCACAAGGACACTGTTATAATGTCTGAGCCTTCACTTGTACCTTTATGCCTTCATCTCCTCTTTCTCCTTGGTCTCCTGCATCTCCTGGGTAGCCATCAGGGCCCTAGGGAGGGAAAGCACAAAGAACCACACATTTTGCAGTGGCAACAACATGCACTTTCCCTGGAGAATGAATCAAATGGCTTAGAAAGTTGCTTTAGAGACTACAATAGTTGTTGCTTGTTGGTTGGAAAGGGCCTTGAGATCATTTGGTTCTAACCCCCTGCATCATGCAATCTGTAGGAAAATGGGCCAGTAACTTTGTTAGCCACCTTTGTACTGTGTGCAGCTGATGTGCTGAATGAGAGTAAAGCATTCCTACCTTGTCACCAGGGTCTCCCTTGCAGCCTGGTGGTCCAATTCTGCCCAGCCTGCCCTGGAGAGATAGAATTCCAAAGAGAAAGACAGAGAAGCTGTAGGTGTCCGAAAGGAAAATACAGCTTTCCTTCACTAATCTTTAGCATCATTTGCTGACCATGCCTGTCATCAGCTAAAGAACGAATAGCAAGTGTATTCCTTAAACAGGAATGTGGTGTGAAGAGACAAATGGAAGAGGAGAAAATAGCCTAAGAGCCCCAGCTTGGTGGAAATTCAGGCATGCTCATCCTGCACACATGCCCTGGGTGATGGCCACATCCCTTGAGGCTGGATTTGGAGGTCATTCATGTTGTGGTGGTCCTCTGTCCTGCATCTTGAGTTGGAACAGGTCTGTCTGTAGCCCATGAGAGCAGTGATGCCTTGTTCTGCATCCCAAAATGGATTTGCTGGCAATGCTTACACAGCTTGTCCTGGTTAGAGAGTCTGAATGAGTGTTTTAGAGCTTCAGCAGGCATTTGAAGAGTGGGAAGAACTGGTATTACCTTGCAGCTGGGTGTATGAGACAGTGCAGAGCAAACCCAATGTGTGCTGGGCAGTGGACAAAGTCATCTGAAATCAGCTCATATTAGGCTATTCTGCTGTGCTACATCTGCATGGCATGCAGACCTAAGGGAGGTCATGGCCCTCTATGCTCAATATAGAGGTTTGGGTTTGAAGGGACCTTAAAACTCATCTAGTTCCAATCCCTGCCACAGGCAGGGACACCTTCCACTAGAGCAGGGTGCTCCAAGCCCCCGTGTCCAACCTGGCCTTGAACACTGTCAGGGATGGAGCAACCACAGCTTCTCTGGGCACCCTGTGCCAGCGCCTCAGCACCCTCACAGGGAAGAGCTTCTGCCTAAGAGCTCATCTCAGTCTCCCCTGTTCTGGCAGGTTAAAGCCATTCCCCTTGTCCTGTCCCTACAGGCCCTTGTCCAAAGCCCCTCTCCAGGTTTCCTGTAGCCCCTTTAGGCACTGGAGCTGCTCTGAGGTCTCCCCTTAAGGAGCCTTCTCTTCTCCAGGCTGAACCAGCCCAGCTCTAAGCTCAGCTCTTTGAACCTGGCCTTTAGCGCTTTAATATCAAGAATAAGCAGCAGCTGAAAGCTGAGATTTCAGATTTCTGACGAACTGCCTCGAAACCCGCATTTCTGCAGAACTTCCTGTTTCCTTTAGGGGTCACTAGCACTCAAGATGAGGTATCTCCAGCCCTGCATCGCCTCCTGTATCAGCAGCACAGCCTGGGTTGCCCATCCGTTTCCTTGCTTGCTGATGAAGGGATAGCGCTCCCTATGTCGTCTGAGTAACTTCATCTCCAACTTTCTCAGGTATTCCTACATTCCACGCGGAACAACGTGTAAATAAGTTCACAGAAACCTCAGTCAGAGCAAAAAGCATGTGGGATAATGGGAGAGGAGAAATGCAACCAGTGGAGACAAGGGTGGGTAAAGAAATAGAACAGCAGCAGCTACATTACTAAGTCGTGTTACCTTCTGTCCATCGGTGCCATTCCTGCCGGCCAAACCAGCGGCACCCTGGGATCAAGAGGGAAAATAGAAGGATCAGTGATGTGTTAACGCACACGCAAGGGTTGGAAGCTGGGGCAAAGTGTAAAGGTGCTTTCTTACCCGCCGTCCATCGGATCCAATCTCACCCTGGGGGAAGAAGAGGACAAGAGTCAGGCACTGAGTACATCCGCCACCCATTTACCTCCCACAGACATCTTCACTTTAGGACACAATGCCTGAAGGAGGAGATGTCCCTGGAAATCCCTGCTGATGTCTGCATTTACATATGAATAAGGCTGTTATTCTCCTCATTACAGCTAAACTCTTCTTTGCAACGGAAAGGTGTCCACCCCACCCCACAAGTGCTCAGATTTGGTCTCTTTTTTTCTCACCTTCTCTCCTTTCAGCCCTGGGACACCCTAGAAAGAAAGGACAATGATGTGTTAGTGCCTGGGGATGAGCAGGAGCTGGGATCTCAGCTGGGAAACAGATGAGAGGGAGAAGCAGAGCTCTCCACTGCTTTCGCATAACTCAGTGACTGCAAAGAGCTCAGTCACTGGCTATGGGATTCTTACCTTGGGACCAGGGTATCCGATGGGACCTTCGATACCTGGGTCACCCTTGAGGGAAGAAGACACAAAGTGTTAACTCCAGTGTGGCAGAGGTGCAGCCCCAGCTAACAAAGGAGCAACACTGCTGGCTACGATGGTGGGGGGCTTGCCACCACTTACCTGTCTTCCTTTCAGCCCAGGGGAGCCTGGTTCACCCATGTTTCCCTTTGCACCCTAAGGAAAGAAAAAAACCCAATATTGAGTCTAAGCTTGGCGCTGACTGTGAGAAAATGGCAATTTCTGGGAGCATCAGAAGTGGTCTTGCAAGTCCTGGGGTAAAGGTTGGACTTGATGAGCTTAAAGGTCTTTTCCAACCGTGTTGATGCTATGATTCTGTGCTGGTTCTGCATCACCAGATGCTCCTACAGAGCTTGGGCAGCAGGACCTGCTTTATTCCAGGGAAAGGCTCTATGGGGAGAGGAGCACACCAGGCTAGGGGCAGGAGAGTGGGACACTGGTGTCAATGCATCATCTTCAGCACACACATGAGCAGACACCGGTGCTGGATGTGTGCTCCATTCACTCCATCACAGCAGTCTCCCAAGGCCAAGGCAGACGTCGGGGAGCTGTTTTCCACCTTGGTGAAGGCTACCTGCAGCTGAGGGGGGGTTTATGGCATCCCACACTGCCTGCATTATTCTCTTCCCACAGGCTGAGGGTGACTTACCTTCTGCCCTCGGTATCCCTTGGGACCAGGCGGACCTGCAATCTCCAGGCAGCTCATCTTGTAGCACTGAAATACAAGGGACGGAACAAGAGGTATAAGCACTGTGGTTCTCCACGCATCTCTCTCTCCTTATGGACATGGTGCTAAAAGCTACCCCAACTCCAGCTATGGGCATAAAGTTGCCACAAGCACATTCATTATGGCTTGAGCCTGTGGCCAAACTGCAAGAACAAGACTGTTCAATGTCAGATAAGTTGGGGTGAGCTTGCTCTTCTGAGGCTATCGGGGTTTGTGCCCTTTGGAGCATCACTTTGCACATTGGGTATGCCAAACCATGTCCACATGGTACCAGCAGGGCTTCAGCTTGTGCAGCACCTACAGAACTACCCAAAGTGATGCAATGAGTCTACTCTCAGAAGGCAGAAAGTGAAGAGTCCATTCTGCATTTCAGACATAGGATAAAGGGACAGGTCCTCAGGCTGTTGCACTGATGTATGGGTAGGCAGAGACCCATCCTGCGCAATCTGTCCTGCTACTTTTGGGATATGAGTTGGTCTTCTTTAAGTGAGACGACTTAAACCTGTGTTACGTGGCAATGGCACAAAGTTGCTGCTCACTCACCTCTCCATAGGCTTCGTGTTTCTGCAAAGAGAAAACAGGAAGGACAGAATCAGTGAAGGTCAACCCCAAAGGAGAACCAGCACCACAATCCTAGAGGTCCATGTGATACTAAGGGAGAGGAGGTGGTAAAGGTCCCATGGCTTTAAAGAAGTTCTCAGAGCAACCAGTGCGTCGCAGGTGGGACCTCAAAGGCCATGCTGATGATGAGTACATGTCTCAGTGCTGTTTCATGCACCCCTGGATGGGGAGCAGGCTGGGTATGGGTCTGGCCTTCAGCAAAAGCCAGGCTAGGGTGGCAGCCTGCCCATAAATCATAGGCACAAACCAAGGAGTCCTGGTTTAGCACTTAAGCAGACAAATCCAAGAAGCTTGAGATTCCATTTGCCCCCTAAGTGCTGGAAGGCCATGAGAAAGGAAGAACAACAACGTGAAGGCTTTTCCCTGGCTCAACAGAGCCCTGCCAAATCTCACAGCGCGGCTGCTCAGAATGCATCCCCAACCACCCATATGCTGCTTCTCTCCCCCCGTTCTCCTGCCATATCATACCATAGCTTGGATTATCCTGTCAATGGTGTTCACATCAATCTCCAAGGTGTCCTTTTGCGTGATGGCATAGTTATTGCGGTACAGCTCGTGGGGCAGGTTGGCGATCTCCCGCAGCCCCTGCTCATAGACATTCTCACTTGGGGCCACTGCAAAGAGCTTGATGCCCATGTCTCGTGCCCTCTCTGCCTGCAGCTTCATCCCCCCACAGGGGCTGCCTGTGACGTGGCCATCAGTAATGACTACTGCGAAGTTCACGCCTGAGGCCATCTGGGTCTGGATCTGCTCCGTCATGTTGGAGATGGCGCAGTCTGTGAAGGTGCCCCGGCCAAGGTAGTTAATGGCATTCAGCCTGGGGAGGTAAATGTCTTTGCTGCTCGTTAAAGGGCTGTATATCTCCACCACATCCGAGTAATGGAGCCCACCAAACTGCCAGGTGATGTAGACTTGGTTCTGGTAGAGCTCGTTCTCCAGTTTGTCAATGAACACAGGGATGAACCGCTTGATTTGGTCCACAAGGCTCTGGATAGGCACAGTCTGCAGAGCTACGCTCTCCGAGGTGTCAATGATGAAGTACACATTGATGGGGCAGTTCCTCTTTTCTGCATGGAGATGATGAGGCAGAACATGTCAGAGCACTCCATACACCTCCTTTATTGCCCCCCAGAAACCTGGACTGAGAAGCTTATCTATTCAGCACATAGAGGACAGCACATAGAGTTGTGAAGAGAGCAAACAACAGCAGGAGGCTTAAGCTCCAGCTTCCTGTGAGGGTGTTGAAGCTCTTGACAATTAGGAGTTAATTCCACCTGGGCTGGAGGAAATGAGGGAGCTGAGGATTTAGGCCCAGGGTTGAATGAAGAAGGGCAAACGTGTGACTTCTGTTCTTCTGCACTAAATGAATGCTCTGCCTACCAGGCTGCTGGTTGCTCTCTGGTTTATAATCATTGTCAAGAAGACCATACCCAAGCATGACACTGGAAGAAGTCCCACATAGCTTGAGCACCTCACCATCCTCAAAGGGGAGGGCTTCTCCTTTATATCCAGTCTGAACTTCCCCTTGTTTAAGCTTGAACTCATCACCCCTTGTCCTACCAAATCCCGAGTGTATAACTCCATTACTTATGGATACAGAGCTTATTACTGCATCAGCTGGGAGAAGGCACCACTGGCAGACCCCAGCTCTTCAATCCCTACCTCTCTGCACTCCAACGCAAGCCCAGAAATGGGAGTTTGGGTGGACAGTGTTCCTTGGAGATGAATTACTATCACAGGGCCTGGGAGTGCAAAGGGCAGGAGAGGTTTAATGTACCACTATTCCTCATGAGCAGGCTCGCCAGCTAAGCATGACTATTGCTTTTAGTGAAATTACTGCCTACAAAGAAAAGAGGCACCCATTTATCGGGTTAATACCTGCACAGGAGGTAGGGCTGACATCTCCAGGATCCCCATCAAGCTGAGCATGGAGAGAAACCAGAGCCACACAAAGGACTGTGGTAAAAAAGGCTCGTCGGAACATCTCAGCAGTTCCTCTGGATATTGAGATGCCTGTGGGAAAACACAAGTTAGATGTTAAGCACCGTATACAGCCTCCTAGTGCTGCTGGGGAAACACGAAGCCAACCAAGGATCAGGTGATGGAGCTATAGACAGTGCATCTTGATTGTTTGATTTCGTGGTTTCTCTTTATGGCCACTCCATGCCCACATTGACTCCATCACCCCCAATCCACATGGACATAAGCATCCATGCTCCAGTTTGCCCGCTTGGCCACACCACCAGCGAAGGTGTGCAGCAGCGGGTCCTTTCCATCTCACCATATGAGTACCAAAAGGACACAACATCCCTTGCTCAACAGCGCTGCTTTTCAGCCCACACAACCCATGGAATGAAGGGATGAATAAACATCCACTTGAAGAAGTGCACATCTTTAGCGATGAACCTATCACACTGGGTCTACAAGGTCCAATTGCATGCAGGAGCATATTTTGTGTAGGGTTATGATGACTTAAGCAGCAGCAGAGTTGGAGATCTTGTCTAATGAGCTCTTGGGAATGTATAAGGATATTCACAGCCAAAATACAGGCAACACTTTTCAACAGCAACATTGTAGAATCATAGAATCAACCAAGCCCTTTAAGCTCATCCAGTCCAACCATTCCCCAGCACTGCCAAGGCCACCACTAACCCATGGCACTGAGGCCTCATCTCCACTGTGTGTGCACACTTGCAGGGACGGTGACTCCAGCCCTGCCCTGGGCAGCCTGTTCCAATGCCTGAGCACCCTGTGGGGAAGGAATTGTTCCTCAGCTCCATCTAAACCTGCCCTGGTGCAGCTTGAGGCTGTTACACAGAGGAAGAAGTGATGCTGGGCTTTATGTCTTGAGGACGATAGCTCTAACCAGCATGGCCCCTTGAGGGCACAGGCCGTAGATAGGGCATGTGTGATCTCTACTATGAAAAGAAGGCCGGAACCCAGTTCAGAAAGAGATCTTCTTCCTTGAAAAGTTTTTTTGGGCATCTCTTGGAAGAGTCCAAGTCTTGAATGGACACCGAGAGAGTATTTGCTTGCATTGGTAGCTCAGGGGGAGAGCAAGTTATGCAGCTGAGCTTTGCCCTAGTGATGTCCCTGCGTAGGTCAGTGTGGCTCAGTTTTCATTGCACTGCAGAGAACAGAAGGGCTATCGTAAGGATGAAATACTTTAATGCTGACGGGGTGTTTTAGTTAAGATCAAGACTTCCTCCTTCTGCCCTTGCTACAGGCTTCCCTCATCTTGTCTGACCACAATGCAGAGCTGCAGAAGATCCTGATCCTTGGTAGGACACAACAGCTTTGTGCCTTTACTGAGGAAGCTGGAGGCACTAGCTTTTGGAGAGGCTGGGAGCACCGGAGGCTTTGGCCAAGTGTCTCACTCACAGATCAGCACTTCCAAAGTTTAACCATATCCCTACCTCCAGCCATGTGTGCACGGGAGCTGCTCTTGGCAGAGCATAGATAACCAGGGCCAGCTATGACATAGGACAGCCTCTACAGCAGTCCTGGGGCCTTTGAAATTGGTCAACAAACCATAGAATCCCATATCATAGACTGGTCTGTGTTGGAAGGGACCTATTCTGTCATCCTCAGACTGCTATAAGCTGTTGAGATGCTGTTGTAAATCTCGTATCATCTGCTGTTTCCCTTCCAGCCCCACCTCCTGCTGTGAAACCTCAGGTTTTGCCAGTGGAAGAGTGTATTTCTGACACATGGTCACATATGCAAAAGCATATGGAGTTATCTACACAGAGGTCTTTCAGAAGGACCCAAGTTCTCTGCTTGTGGGTATCTCTTCCCACCCAAGCAACTGAACCAAATGTTATATTAGGGCAAAGAAATGACTTGCAGTTATTCTTTCCAATGTGTATATTACAGTTATTTGTGCTCTCACATCTGATTATCACACACAAGTTCCTCCTGGTGCACTGTGTACTTCTTCAATCCCACAACACCTCTTATAGCTGAGCAAATTGGTCCCACATTCCCACAAATTCAGGTGCTCTGCTCTCTAAGCAAACTCTGCCTGCAAAGAGCTTATTTCAAGCCACAAACATTACACTACCCTCAAGCAAAGAGAACTATTCTACCTATGGCATATACAGAATGAAGTTAGAAACTCCACTGCTGCTCTGACACGGACCCAGACCCAGACCCAGGTTTGTTCATGCCCAGTGGGAAGTGCCTGCTAGCCACCTGCTTGTATGGCACTCCAATGCTTGCTAAGTAAAACCAGGGGGGAAAAAATCACCCCAGAAACATCCTATTAGGTACAAAAGCTCTCATAAATGCACCTCCTTGTCCTCCTTTGCATGTGGGAACAATGTCAGTGTCGGTCACAAACGTGACCACAAAGAGCCCTGTACTTTAGTTCCTGGGCACATCACCCAAAGGGGAAGGTTTCCCAACATCAGCAGGGATCCCAGCCCTTCTCCAGCTCTCCTATTGCAGCTCCACTGGGAATTCAGCCAGGGAAAGCCCAGGAATGCTGGATGGAGAAGACAGACTCCAGATACCAAACTAATAGAGGAGCCTGTGCTGATGAAACTCAGAGGCATGAATCCCAGGTTCTTTTAATCCATATCTTCTGGAATCCCGGAAATCAAGGAGGAATCATGCAGCTCATCGGTCGCTCTGCTGCACATCAGCATAGCTAAACTCTGCTTAGCTGTCCCAGGGATTTGGCTCAATAGTTCCCCCCCTCCAATAGATTCTCTAGGCCTTTGGCCCTTGTAGATGAGAGTCCGCAGCTCACACTACCCACAGTGGACAAAAAGCTCATGGAAAAACACCCAATCTAGCCAAAAGAAATAGGGAAACATATTCTGCTATAGTAGGTACTGCCTAAACTTGATGTGCCTGAATGGAGCAGCTTGCTGGTGAGCCCATAAGCAGCAGCACTAGCTCTGCAGCCTGCAGCTGGGGTTTTAGAGGGTAGCTCTTCTATTCCTCATTGGAAATCCATCAGAAAACAGCCACATGCCACCCGTTGCAAGGAGAGGAAAATTCTGCCTACCTGGAAAACGAAGTCATCAAAATTCCCTCCAAAAGAGCCTCCCAAAAGCCAGGAAGAAGACTTGGTCGAGTTGCTCGTATTAGGAAGGCTCCTGCATCCCAAGCTCTGCGTGCTCGGGGGGTCTGGGGAGGAGCAGCAAAGGCGTCTCCAGCCCAGTCCCTTCTATCCCTGGAACTGCCCCTTCTCTCTTCCTCCTCCTTCTCAATCCTCCCGTGTAGTAGCTGCAGACATCCACAGAGCGTCACTGTGGGTCCACCAGCACCTCGGGATGGTCTCCTCCTACCGCTCCCCTCCCAAGGCTGTCATCTTTGGACCTGTAGGCATCTTTCTTCTAAACAAGCTGGAAGAAGTCTCGTTTTTCCATGATGAGAGGCCCCATTTTCGTGATTGGCATCGCTGCCCCACATATTTATACCATCAAATAGTGTTCCTCTTACTTTCCGCCTCCTTTTCCCGTCCTAGTAACGTATCCTGAATGGAACAAATAAAACAAGAACAGCTCAAAAAAGAGCAATTTACATCTTTAGCTTTTGCAGATATCCAAGTCTTGCTCAGAGTCATCCAAGTCTGAGTAGTATCTGTTACTATTGATAGGTTTGGGTGTTTTGTTGCTGGGTTGGGGCTTGATGGGGGACTGGTTTTCCTTTTTTGTTTGATTTTCATATTCACAGGCAATTTTTAGCTCTGATGAATCAAAAATAGTGGGAAATGTCCCAATAAAATATAGGGAACAGCAATGACTTTCATTAACATGGCCTGTTATCCATTGAGTTATCACTTTCTGTAGCCCAGAGAGTGAGCAGCAGGTCAAGGGAGGGGATTCTCCCCCTCTGCTGCAATCTGGGGAGACCTTAGAGCAGCTCCAGTGCCTAAACGGGCTACAGAAAACCTGGATAGGGGCTTTGGACAACAACGTAGGGTCTCTGGGATGTCATCATCTCCAAAGGATCTAGTGAAGAAACACAAGGTCATAGATAGGGGCCTGCACTTGGCAAGGATTCAATAATGCTGTAGGTTGGGAAATCCTTGGGGTTGTTTAAAATAGAACCCTAGAAACTCCAAACAGTGCTTCCTTATGTGGTAGCAAACAGCACTTTGTGAGCACGCAAATGCTGTATATATGTATAAGAATGGGGTGTTAAGTAAATAAGAACTGCAATAGCAAAAGGGACTTAAAAGATAACACCAGAATGTTAACATTGGAAAAAGTATGTAGAGCCTCCGATCGCCCTTGTGTGTTCATGACGACTCTCTAAACATCCTGGAGCAGTTGACTTTAATGGCCTAAATCCCAGGAAATGCTGCTAAAATATGGGATCAAATGAACATTTGCTTTTTTTTTGTCAGAAAGATTCGCCTTTGTGTCTCATTTTACCACAATTCAAGAATGTTAAACACAGTGGGGGCTGTTTGCAAGTACATGACCTGAGCTAAGCTAGAAAAGAAATGGGTTTGCTTCTTTCATTTCTTTAATAGATGTTTTAATAGATCTATTTGAAAGATGTTGGAATAGATGTATTTAATAAATATTTTAGTAGATCTATTTAATAGGTGGTGTAATAGATCCATTTAATAGATGTTGTAATTGATCCATTTAATATTTGGTTTAATAGATATATTTAATAGATGTTTTAATAGATCTATTTAGTTGATGTTTTAATGGATGTCTTCTCTTTAGCACCAGTGACAATGAACAAGACTGGCCAGGGATGTCTCAGAGCCAGCCGAGCCTGCACCCAGTGTGTACACAAAGGGTGGTGAGGATCAGAGGGTAGACCAGTACATGTGATGGCGTAGTATGGTTCTACTGCAGACCTCCTTATATACATACAGCAAGCACTATGTATAAAAGAGGAGCAGCTGCACACAGAAAGAAATGTCTTTGCCCATTTGATGAGATTATCATTCTTCTGATGAAGAGGTGGATGAAGTTTTCTTCAGGCACTTGAAGGAATCCTTACAGTCACAGGCCTGGGTACTCATGAGAGGATTTAACCATCTCATTGTCTGCTAGGAGATAGCAGATCATGGTCATGACCACCACAAGGGGTTTCTGGAATGGTTTGAAGGCAAGTTTGTGATGGAGGTGATGAATGAACTGACTGGGGGAGATGGTCTTTTGGACCTGCTACTCAAACACAGGGAAGAACTGGCTGAAAATGAGAAGTCTGCAGGGGCTACGAGACTGTGACACTTAGAAGGCAGCAGGGCAAGCAGCAGAATTACAATCCTAAACCTTAGAGAAGCAAGGATTTACCTGCTGGGGGGAAGAATACAAATGCATTGTATGAATTGAGTAAGGAAGCAAACATTTCAGGAAACAAGAGTATAAAAATCCATCCTTCTGTTTGTCATCAGTGAAAGTGCAGAGATTTATCAACTGCATACTTACAAAGATATGAAAACCAGCATGCATTGTTTTCACTAAGCACCGTCTTGGCCTTGTTTTTGGTTTTCTTTGCATATTTAGAAAGCAAGACCCTTGGAGACCACTGCATCATCTCAGAAACACATGAGGGGTGGATACAATTGCAGGCAGACCCAATGACAGTGCAGTAGCTCTTATATGGAGAAGCACAGCAGTCCCATAAAGCTGTTTCAGATGGATGTGATTTAAAACCACGAGATTGAGATTTAGTGGGAGTTACAAATGAGAGCTGTTTCAGATGGATGTGATTTAAAACCACGAGATTGAGATTTAGTGGGAGCTACAAATGAGATGTAAAAAGGGAAAGGAGCAGCTACACAGTTTACAAAGAAACAAGTGAATATCCCATAAATCACACTTAAGTCTACAGGGGGGTGTAAATAAAACAGTAACCATCAATGCCTGACTGACTCCCTTACTTCAGACTCTATACAGGGTCATAGAGGGGAGCAGAAAATCAAGCAGGTTTTTCCTTCTCTCTTCCTACTCTTGACCTTCCTTCATTTCCTCTCCATTAAGTGGAACTGAATGTTAAATAGCTGTTCATTATATAGGGTGTTCTGTGAGCAACAATAATAGTACGTGGCTCAGATACATAGGGAATGAGCAACTAATCCATGTCCACACACCTTCCCTGCAAATACCTTTCCATGAGATTTTCAGTTCCACTGAAAGGAGGAAGAAAGGATTCAAGGATTAGGAAGAGGAGCCAAATTGAGGATAGAGATAGTGGATGAGGCTCCCATGGATGTCTCCTCACCTGGACAGACCTCCTTACATACATATAGCAAGCACTATGTATAAGAAGATCAACTGCATGCAGAAAGAAATGTTTTGGTCCGTTTAATTCCCTTTACAAAGAAGGAAGAAGATGCTACATAAGTTTTTGGTACCATCTCCAAAGGTTTCTGCCCCACAATCATTTTTCTCTAGAGCTTCCTATGTTCTCATCCTAGTCACAAGAACTCCATTACAGACAAGTAGCTCAGGACTTTAATGCTACCAGTTAAAAAAAAAACGAGACTGTAAAAAAGCCCAATAAATCCAGGGGAAAAAAAGCATCATCTTCTTTTTCGGTTATTTTTGCTGATTTTGTGTGAACAAGACACAGAATGCCTGTTTCTCAGACCACCTCAATGTAAGGAATGAACTTGCAAGATGCGGCTGCATATGACAGAGCTGTGAAGGTGATAGTCCTACTAATGTCAGAAAAATGGGTACCCAGGTAGGTGAGAAAGGCCCAAGTAGCTTTTTCTAATTGACAAAAAGGATCCAAAAGGGGGCTGTTTTGTAGAACATGTAAGAATCCTCACAGGGGCAAGGCATTGTGTCATGTCAAGCTGCAGAAAGGACATGAGAAAGATAAAGAAGCACACACAAAGTTAAGAGTCTGTAGGACCTTTGGGCAGGAAACTGCAGACAAAAGACAGCATTCGCTAATCTGTAAGGAGGAAAAACATATGGAGGTGTGGGCTTATGCTGTCCTCCTTTCTACCCTTTGGGCACTCACCAAGTACGTAGGGGACAGATGTGATTTTCACTTGCTTGTGCTAAGACGTCTTGCTGGACAAGTGGCTTTTGCAGGGGCAGATTTGCCTAGAAATAGACCAGTTGAATGTGGATTAGAAGCAGTATTGATGGGTACTCATGGACACAACAGAGCTTGGACACAGCAGCAAAGTAGAAAAAAGAAATGGGCTGGTATGTGCTGTGTTCACTGCATTACTGGAAGGTGAATGCTTTGCTTAGACATAGAATCACAGCCTGGTTTGGGTTGAATCTGTGGCAGGTTAAAGCCATTCCCCTTGTCCTGTCCCTACAGGCCCTTGTCCAAAGCCCCTCTCCAGGTTTCCTGTAGCCCCTTTAGGCCCCGGAGCTGCTCTAAGGTCTCTCCTTAAGGAGCCTTCTCTTCTCCAGGCTGAACCAGAGCAGCTCTCTCAGCCTGGCTCCTCCTGAAGCATTCATTTAGGACCTCACTTGTATGAGAACCCTTTACCCAAGTTTTATTTCCCCTCTCCTCAGGATCTCCCTTCCCAGGGTTAGTTTGAGTGCATTGGCTTGAGGGAATGCTCCAGGGCTCCTGTGCCAGCTGCTCTTGCTGCATGATTTCTGTGAGCCTTTGAGATTTTCCTTTAGAAACTGAGGCCATACTTATGGACTTAGTATTTTACACCTTTGGTTGCTCAGTCCAGGCTTGCTGTCTAGATGCAGCTTTGCTGCGGTGCTCTGATGGTTTAGTGTATCTGGAGATGGTCCCTCCAAGCAGGGAAAAGCTAAGGGCTTCCAGTGACCGTTCCTGGGTCTTTTCACTACTGAAAGAGCCATATTGAGCATGTCAACACGAGGGGAAGCAATGGTGCCTGAGAGCAGCAACACAAGGTCATACGCGAACCCAGCAAGCCAAGAATGGGTGCAGAGATTGCAGAGAGAGTGAGGAAAGGATGGGCTGAAACACTCTCTCCCCATATAGGTCCCCTTTTACCAGTTTCACAATCCTTGCTTTTGATGCATTCAGCTCTTGCAGCACATTTTTTCCATGCAGCCAGTCGGGACAGCTGAGCCCCAAACCTCTGGCTCATTGGGAAGAGCCTTTGCATAGTGAAGCAACTGCATTCCAGCTCCTTGGCAAGGCAGGAGCTTGAGGAGGTGGCTGATGTGGTTCACAGTACTGGATAATCCCGAGCTATCTCTGTGGAGATATCAAATGAGCTTTAGCTTTGGAGCCCAGGGTAAGGAAACAGTTAAAAGGCACAGTTTGTGTCTTTGGGGC